ACACACACACACACACACACACACACACACACACACACACACGAGTCCAAAATATCCTTCCTGGCCACAAAGTAGTGTTTGAACTGCTGCAGAGCACCCAGTTAGAGTCCAAAAGAGTGGGAAAAGAGGAGGCTGAAAGAGTTCTAGACTGTCTCCTTCTAGGTCTTCTTAACTCCATCTTCCTTCCGCATCTCCTGCCTCAGTCTTGGCTGACTTGATGTTTGCACTTAGTTTTGTATGAGGCCCGCTCACACTCATCTGTCACCTGCCTCTTCTGGATTCCTATTGAAACCCATGTCCTCCCTTTGAACCTTTGCCAGATCATGGAACCTAGAATTAGGTCAAAAACCTCCTTCAGCTTCTCATCTCACACTCCACGTGCATGGACTTGTCCCGAGTCTCCCTGATGCCCGAGACACCCATTAAACCTCAGCATCTTCTGCTGTGTTGTTTACTTAGACAATTCCATTTCTTGTGGCTCTTGGATCTCCCTGAGCCCTCTTCGGGGCCTTTGCACTTGCTGTTCTTTGTGAGAACGGAGTGGGAGGAGCAGAGACGCGTGACTTGCTACAGATGTACACATGGCCAGTCTAAAGCTGACCTTGCCTCACAGAGGTCTACCAATTAGCTTTCCTGTTACATTTGTCTCTGTTGCATGCCTGCCATTCTGTGGTATTTCCTCATACACTTATTTACCTATATTCTATTTTCTAGCTTTGCCTCACAGAGGTCTACCAATTAGCTTTCCTGTTACATTTGTCTCTGTTAGCATGCCTGCCATTCTGTGGTATTTCCTCATACACTTATTTACCTACATTCTATTTTCTAGCTCCTTGTTACATAAATACTAGCTCCATAAGGGGAGAAAATTTGTCTTCTTGTTTGTTGGCATGGTAGTTGACTCTAGAAACTTGCGCATAGCCTAGGAGTTTCTCTAAGCATCGTTGCTAAAGGAAAGAATGAATCCTGGTTCCTTTCCTAAGAATGAAAGAGAAATCAATCTAAAAGTTTAGGGGTTTTTAGTAAAAGTAAGAGCGTGATCTTTAGGAGCTGATAGTTGTAGTTTCCATCTTGTCACCATGTTTAATTACCTGAGTAACCCTGGGCAAATAGTGTGATCTTATCTAATGAAGGATAGCAATGCCCAACTCAGAGCCAGATGTGGTGCAACATTCTAATCCAAGCACCTAGAGCAAAAGGAAAGAGAAAGAAGGGTTCTAGGCCAGCCTGGGCTACATAATGAGACGCTGTCTCAAAATGGACAGACAAACAACAGAATAAGGCTGAGTTTACTTGATTTTTATGAATGTCAGCACACATAATCTTGAGGCTATTGTGTTGCTCTTTTTCCTGGAGACTATGCAGTTGTTGCATGGGGTGGGTGGGCAGAAGCTGATGTAGATCAGGCTGGCCTCAAACTCACAGAGGTTTACCTGCTTCTATTTCCCAAGTGCTGGGATTGAAGGCATGCACCACCACACCTGGATATTTGCATACATACTTCTTAAGGGGAAAGTAAGCTAAGACCCCTTGCTAGAGGTCACTGACAAATCAATCCCAGTGACTCTAAGGAAGAACAGACATACTGAGTCCTTCTTGATTACAGCCAGTGAGTGACACAGGAAACATACAAGTTCAGCTTATGTGATTATAAACTTCTTTTTCTAAGAAAACTTTAATCCTTCCCCTTTGTTTGTCTTGGAAACGAGTTAAATTGAGTTGGAAACTGTGTGAATGTCTACTTTGTGGGGTCTTTGGCTCCCAGTACTGATTTCCATGCTATTTGATATTAAACCCCCTGTCCAAATTAAAGCATATCTTAAGATTTTATGTAATTAGTTGTCTTTTATTCAGGCACAGTATTTAAACTTATTTATAGGTGGCTCTTAAATGTTCCAATTTTCTTAAAAAAGATTACTGCACAATAATATACCTGGGTACTGATTTATTTTATTTTTATTTACTTACTTTTGGGTTTTGAGGCACAGTCTCACATTGTAGCTTAGTTGGCATGGAACCAACTATGTAGTTCAGGCTTGCCTGGAATCATTATATAGCCCAGGCTACTCTCAAACTCCTGGGCATCTCCACATCCTTTAATTCCTGCTGGGAATATAGGTATGATCCACCACAACCACCACTGGAATGTTCTTTGGACAAGTTTGCTAATTAAGCGTATAGAGAAAATGACAAAGGAAAAAAAATTCTTTAAATGCAGCAAGTACACAAATGAAAGAACTTTCTTTTTGATGACTAACACTTTTCAACACAGCTGTTGGATTTAAAAATGTATTAATTATGGTGCGGTAAAGATGGATTGGTGCTTTGGTTAAAAACACTTGTTGCTCTTCCAGAGGACCTGGGATTGGTTCCCAGGATCCGCATGGTAGCTTACAACTGTATTTAGCTACAGTTCTAGCATATCCAATGCTCTCTTCTGGCCTCCTTGGGCACTGTATGCATTTGGTGTACATCAATGCAGGCAAGCCACCCATAAACATAAAAATTTAAATAATTACAAATAATCTTACTGAATTTGTAAAGCAATTCTGGTCAAGACCTCTGCTTGAACTTATATAGTCAACTGATTGAAAGCAACATGATTGTTGCTTTAAAAACTGTCTTATGTTCACCTAGGGCAATCTGAAGATGACTTGATAATTGATATAAACAACGGTTTTCTGAAATGGAGGAAGCTTGTTGCATGTTCGTCAGTGAACTTACTTGTGGTTTTTAAGCCGATGCTTTTAGTAGGTGGAGAAGCATACCATTGTTAGTTCAGCAAGGGCTTGCTAAGCTTCACTGAGCCTTAGTGAGCTGAAAGAAGGCATTCGGTGGTAAGACAGTATGTTCTCAGGCCTGACAGGTGCCTGACAATTGAAACTTGACCTGTCCCCCTCCTTTAATGCAGGTCACACAACTGGTCTCTCATTAAACAATGAACGGCTATACAAGCTCAAATACTCCACTGAAGTGTTTCTTGATGGGGGCAAAGGAAAACTGCAAGACAGCGTGGGCTACCAGATCTCATCTGATGTGGACGTTGTGTTATTGTGGAGGAATCCTGATGGTGATGATGACCAACTGATCCAAGTCACGGTGGGCATCTTCTACAAACATGAAACAAACAGCAAGCACTACACTAAGATTAGATGTCAGAAATACACCATCCAGCAGCACTTGTTAGTGATGTTTGGTTGTACTTGGCTTGTTATCTTTCACAAAAACAAGTGAAGCATCCACAGTCTTGAAGTTGTTGCTAATCAATAGTGAGTTTTCTCCAAACTGTCGCAGCAGGCTGCTTGTGCTGCTGAGTAACTGAAGTCTGACCTCCAGTTCTCTATACCACCTTAATATGAATAGAGACATTGTCTTGGAATCCATTCAAATGTCCTGGGAGGAAGGGATTTGCAATGCATGTCATGCAAGGAACCATGGAGACTGAAATGGAGATGCATTAGGGGAGGCCTCATTTAACAGGTGGAATTAATTACTAATGAGAGACAGCCCCTCTTATAGAAGGAACCAGCACTCCACAGGATGACAGCGTTTGGTCAGCCATGATGGTTTAGATTGTAGGGCTTCTTCTAATGTTGATATATTGTAATCCTGCTTCCCAAGAACCTAACAGCAGCAGGTTCCTTTTAAAGTTATTTCCTCTGCTGCAGGCTACTGTCAAATAGGTGCACTGGGCCAAGTACATGGAACAAATAGCTTCTTATAGTAAGATTTATTCCAACGCAGTTGACAATTTGTTGCTATTTCTTTGGATGTTTCTAGTAGTTGTTGTATTTTCAAAGTTGGATCAAGACATCACCATGCATTCCTCTGTGTCATTGTCACTAGGACAGCAAAGTTTCCTGCAGAAGACACTGCCTGCATCCTTGTTCTGTAACTTGGCTGTTCCTCTTTCATTTTATAAACACAAGGAGGCAGAGTGGGCAGGGATGCTTTCAGACACAATACAGACAGGGAGGCGATGAGGTAGACAACAGCTGTTCAAGACCAGTCAGGAAAGTGACAGTGACATGAGAAAGAGCCACATTCAAGTCACATATATTATAACTCAAGATCACGGATTTTAATATTGTCACTTTTGACTAGTTAAATATCTAATGTTAAATCCCGCATCCATTTTAAAGTGGATGGCAAGGAGAAGCATCATAGCTTAATTCAGGCACTTGTCCAGTAACATGAGTGACAAGTCCTGTGAGTCAATGTTTGGGAAAAAAAATGGCAACCTCAATTGGTCTCCTTTACCACTCTATTTTTAAGAGACAGATGTGGGAATCTTTTCCTAATAGTTTTCTTTTCTTGGCCTTAGATAACGGCCGTCAATGTTGAAAATGTGAACCAACAGAGAGGAGAGAAGAGCATCTTCAAAGGCAAAACTACACCTAAGATCATAGGAAAGGACAACCTGGAAGCTCTGCAGAGACCCATGCTGCTTCATCTAGTCCGGGGGAAGGTAAAGGCTCTGGGCTCCCTTTCAGCAGGTAGTGCTCTAAGGGAACAGTAGTGTTGCTACCTTTGTTCTCAGTGGAATCATTTCAAGACCTGAGGGGCAAAGACTGCTCATCAAATGTCTCCAGAGTAAATCAAATCATATGTTGGAACTGAGAAGCCATTGTCAACAGTCCATTCATTCCACGTTCTGGGTTTGGAAAGTTGTGGGTATTCTAGTCACACAGGAAGATGTGAGCTCAAGTGCAGTCATGAGGTAGAAAAACAATAGGGAGATAGGGACGGTTACAGTTGTCCTTTTGCCTGTCTCCAAAGTTCAACTTTCTGCCTCAAAATCACGATGAGAAGCACTTTAATGCAAAGATGCCAGAGACCTCTATTGCAAACCAGGGTGCACATGAAGTACTGATTGGGAACTCAGTGATGCTAGCATCACATAAAAACCCAACCCCAGTCTGAGAGGGCAGGTCCCTTTCCCCACCTGTCAGAATCTTCCTTGTTTCAAGCTTTGTTCCCACGGCCTCCTTTCTTTCCTAACAGCCACACTCTCTTGGTCAGCTGGAAACAACTGTTTGACTTCACAGCACTCTTGAATTCAACCATTGCCTTCCATTTCTATTTTAACCACCCATATCCTTTGCTAATGTATAACTTTCAGCAGAGAAAATGCCCCATCCTACTTATATTGCAGCCCTTCCACTCTTGGCTCCTTGTCTGTCTTCTCCTTCCCCAGAGTGTCTCCACCTTGTGCAGACTGGTGTATCCGTAAAGCTTTCCCTAACATCCCCCCAGCCCACCACCCCTTGAGATGATTTCTGTTCAAGTGTTCGTCACAGTGTGTTACAATTCTCCATCTTCGGTCCACAGTAACATCGAGTTTCCCAGAAGCAGCAAACACAACTTTCTCTTTTTGCATCCAGCAACTTGAATAGAGTGAAAATTCAATGAATGTTTGTAAAGGGAGGGACACAAAAGTTGATGTAAGGCTAAACGGTCTTGGCTTATGATTCAGTTGGTGGTAAGCAAAGGGAGTGCAGTGCTTACAGCCTGCTGAGCTCCGCCTGAAGACACCGGGATCATTGTCCCCTGTGCTAGTCCCAGACCTAGGAGGTGGCTGCTGTGTTATCCTCCTGTGGCAGATGAGGAACTAGAGTTCTGAGAAGTTAAGAAAATTTCTAAAGTGCACAGAGCTGGCAGGCCACAAAGTTGACATTTGAGGTACAGTCTAAGCCCTAACTTCCATTGATCTCCTGGGCTTGCCTTGAAGAACTCCCCATTTTATTTTTTACCGTATGTATTCAGTTACTTGATTTGCATATGGCTCAACCTTATTAACACAAAACACAGATATTTTCTTCTCTGGACCTCCAAAGTGGCAAGCTTCTTGAGTCCACTAAATATTAATTGCATTTATGATCTTAACCACAACCTGTGATTTTGCAGTGTCTTTGACAGAAGCTGAGTACAAAGTCTTGTTGCACACACACATAAGAACTCAGTGCCCTCACTGATCAAAGGGTGGATAAAGCTGCCACATCACTATTTCAGTGACACCAACGTGCTAGCCCAAAGGGAGCTGTGGTCTGTGATGATTTGCTGTAGCCACAGGTTAAAGTACATCATTATATATCTCTCAATTGTACAATAAAATACCTGAAGAAGGCTCGACCCTGTAGACTAAGAAGTCAAAGGGAATTTCCGGCCACATCGATGTTAGAAAGGTCATTGCCATTTCAGATTACAGGAGAGAAACTGCAAAGGCAGGGAAACAGCTGATGGACAACTCTCTTGGAGGACATTTTTGCCCTAGGCCAAAGTTAAATTCTACACAAAACTCCTGGTATTTCCAGAGAATCTGTTTGTTTCCCCAGAGTCCCTCTTTTTCCTCTCCCCATTTATGTTATGAAAGAACCTAACAAAATCCTTAGATATGTGTTCATTGCTTATTTTCTTTTTCCCACAATGACTCATTAACCATATGCAAGTGCTTGGGCATGATCTGATTTTGTCCACACGCAGCAAACTAAGTTGGGAACATGGCAGTTACCCGTTAAGTTCATGAACACTGACAAATGAAAGTTGCCTATTTGGTTTTGGTGTCTGTGCTGATAAAAATTAAGCTGGCCTCTTAGTTTTCATTGTTTCCTGGTGTGGATCTGCTATCTAAACCTGGATTTGCAGCCCCTGCTCACACACTGACCCTGCAAAGGAGCTGTGGGTGGTACCTGTCAAAAGCACCCATGTCTTCCTTTGCTTCGGTCTTATACTTCTTAACTATGCTAGGTCTTAGTTAAATATCAAAGATACAATGGTGAATCCCTATTTGCCAGGATCAGTTCAACTTATTTTTGTTGCTTAGGCAAAGATGTAAATTTGTCTTCTGTTATTGAGCCCATGAACTACAAGGGACATCTTTTTCCTAAAGGAAAATAGAGTTCCAAGGAAAAGTGGTCCCAGATTTGAGCGCAAGATGCTGGCAATCTGTCTGTCCTCACTCTCAGTTTGAGTTCCTTGTGTGGACATCTTAGCCTGCTATTCTCTGGACTCTGGGCACTGAGGATTCAGACTGGAGGCCCAAACACTTGGGTGTTTAGAATTCATTACAGAACTACATGGAGTTATCGGCTTTATGGCCCGAACACCATAAAACATACTCAGTTCCTCTTGTGAAATAGTGAGTTTAAGATTACTGCTATGACAGACACATGGGTCAAACTTCAAAGTTCCAGTTTATTAATGTTATCACTGGTAAGTGATTTCGACGTTTGATGAGTATGGATAAGGATGTCATCTTTACTTTAAGTCAGATTGGTGAGTTCTAATAACGAGCAGTTTCAGCTTCTGAAATAGCAGCCATGCAAAGGACAAAGCAAAAGGCTTGTTCACTTTTCTAGTTGTAGGAAAGCAATAGCTATCAATTGTGTCTCCGAGTTTATGCTTTTCAGATTCTTTACTGTTATTGCTAAAGGAAGGAAATCCAGTTTATAGTATAGAGCATCGGAAAGCCAGCTTGGATTGAGAAATTGCCAGTGGTTTGTTTGAGAATATGATCCCTGGATTTTCAGACAGTGAGGTCACTGACACAGTTCTCTTTTAACCAGCACCAACAACACTATTCCAGCACTGAAGGGTTATGCAGTGGAGTGACTAAAACTGCTCATAAATACAGTAGCCACAAAAAACCTGTCACCAGGCAGAGCATGTCTAGGAAGTAAAAATAGAGATTTGAGGCACTTGGGAGATTAATTCAGGCACAATATTGTCTCCTAAGACATGAGAGATTTTTAGGTAGGTTGAATTATTTGGGTTGGTAATAATTGAATTTACCACATTACTGAGCTTTCTATTTTATCTGAGATTCTATGTTTGTTTGGTTTTTGAGAATTAGGAAAGCATCGGGAATTTGGGGGGCAGAAGTGCTCTGCCACAGCTTCTGTAGCCCATAATAATCTTTACAGGGAAGGTGTGTCTGTCCTTTGTGTCTAAACCATGTGATGTCTTTAAAGTCACCCCAAGGTGAAAACAATAGATTGCCCTCTAAAAACTTCTCTTTGTTTTTTTGTGCTGTTTCTTAAAGACTGACTGACGCATTAAAATGATAAAAAGATACCGGTGCCACTAAATGTCAAGGATAAAACAGAGCCACATCACTTCCTACCCCTGCCAAATCGCTTCTCAGTTCAGCCTTCCCCTGCCTTCTAATGAGAACCTTAAACAGTAGCCACGGGCAGGCTGTGTAGTAGACACCCCATAGGTCCTGCAGCCTCTGTGTGTTGTTCTGCCCAGAGCAGCATCAATGAGCTGCAAACACTTTGGGCATCTGGGTTCTATTTGTGGGCAAACCTGGGCCCTGCCATGCCTATAGACATCAGGCCATTTCAGGAATCTCAGCTACCATTTGTGGTAATTGTCATTCTCTTCTGGGAGCCCTTTATTCATCAGTTAATTTGTGTTTCAAGCAGAATTATAAGAGAAAAGTGTGAGATATGAACTGAAGGAATGCTCCTAGAGTTCCTTCCTTGAATACCCCTGGTTTTCACGGAAGTTCCTGACTCTCTGTAATAACTGTCATTACGTTCTGAATCTTCATTTTTAGCTCCTAAGTCCCATTTCCTGATGACCTAGCTTCTTAGAAATAAACTTGCTTCTTTTCACAAGAAAGAAATCACAGCTCTGTGCTAACAATAACTCACACCATCAGTAGGGTTGAGAACCCGGCCCCACCAGCCACATATTTAACCAGATCTGATAAACAATGTACCATTGCTTCATTTTTATTTCTTTTTCCTTTTAGGTCAAAGAGTTCTACTCATATGAAAATGAGCCTGTGGGCATAGAAAATCTCAAGAGAGGCTTGGCTAGCTTATTCCAGATGCAGCTAACCTCTGGAACCACCAACGAGGTACTTAGTGACAATTCTAAGAATTCAGCATCTTGGTGAGGGTAAGGGGGGCTCACCTGTAATCTCAGCTACTTGGGAGCTAAGGCCAAATTTTAAGCAAAGTTATGCCCAGGCCATATAGTAACTTTGAGACAGCCTGGGTAACTCAACAAAACCAAACAAATCTCCACCACCTTATGAAAGCTGGGTGTGGCCACATGTGTGCTAGTACCCAGTGCAAGAGGCAGAGACAGGTGACTTCTGAGAGTTCACTGACCAGCCCTGCTGACCCAAATGGTGAGCTTCAGGTTTAGAGAGAGAACCTGTCTCGAGGGAATAAGGAAAAAGTGAAGGAGGAAAACACCTTATGTTCACTGTGGCCTACATGTAAGCATGTGGATGTGTTTACACATACACACAGATGTACACACATGCACACAAGTGTGCACACATGCATTTACCACATACACCTACATAACACACATATACCTCCTAAGCAATAATATATATATATATATATTT